GTTTGCAGACCTTTAATAGTCTGAAATTGACGGTGAAATCCCTTTAAATGGATTTGACAATTATTGTTTTCATTGTCAATTCGCAAACAAGACAAGGAACAATAGTGTGTCGGTACTGATCTCAGGTTTATACTTAAATAAATTTCTTTAAGTATAAAATTAGAATTATTTAACTTGAATAACTCTAATATTTCCTGTTCATCATATGCAAATGAATATGCCATACATCGGACCGTTTCATATGAAATAATTTGTTTCTGAACATTCGGATCTACATCATTTGGAATAGTCATCCTTCTAATTTTTTTAAAAAAAATATTTAGATTAAATCAGCTAGCATTAGCTATAATAATTTATTGCTGACTAAAATGGTTATATTATTTTATAAATTGAAAATAACAAGTTAATTTTTAAAAAAAATATATATTATTTATACTATAATTATTATGCTAATATATATATATATATTAAAAAAAAAATTATTCTATAATTTCTAACTGTCTATACAAGCTGTTTAAATTATCACGTATATTAAGTTCACATCGGTACCCTACATATTGTGAATGTTTAAATTCATTTGTTAGTTTTTTTTTTGTTTTAGCAGTCTTTTAATTTGTTGATTAATTAATCTAATTTTTTCTTTATATGTTTCTTCTTCTTCTAATTCATTGTTATCATTGACTTCCCTCTGTTCGTAAATGACTTCTATTTGACGTTTAATTGATGCAGATGATTCCATTTTATTGTTAGATATTTTACTTTTTGAAACTGTAAAATAGTACACACTTACTTATATTTACAAATAATTAAATTAATTTATAATAATATAAATCTATATAAAATATATTGTACATCTATTCAATGTATTTAGGTTTTAAGCAATTCCAAGTATATTTCCAGATATTATAATTATAAGTTATGTCATAATATTATAATATAAATACTATAAGATTGGTATAGAATATAACACATAAATACTATCAAAAAATTAAAATAAATTATGGTTATACATCATCTATAAATATTAGCTTGTGATTATTATGCTAAGTTTACAAAATTAATAAATAAAACATTTTTTAGAATGGTTAATATATTAATTATAAATAGTACAATTAAAAAAAAATTGAAAATAATGTAAACAAAAAAACTTTTAGTTTAGAATGTTTATTTATTTACATGTGACTATCATCTAACTATTTTTTAAACATAAACATAATAATATATACAATACTACATATAATATAATCTAATTTTGATTTCAACAGATTGTACTCAACTGCTGTAGCTGATCATTAAGATTTTCTAACTGCATATTAAAATTATTTACACATTTCCAATAGTCGGTACAGCTAGAGCGATAAAATGTAATGATCTTTTCTTTTTCTTCTTTTTAAAAAAGCAATTTTTCTTTTAAATAAATTAATACATTCAGAACATATTTACAAGACTTTAAAAATAAAAAAAGCAGTTTTGAGTCAAAAATTAATGATTAATAAACAAATGATTGATAAACTATTAACCAATAACCACTGTTCATATAATTGTATTGAGCATATAATTTAGATAATCCTTTTTGAATATTTTTTTCATTTTTCTTAGCAATATATAACGAATGTAAATAGTCACTTATAATCTTATTTTTTTCATTCATTAATTTTTTGGTTTTAAAACCGCTTTTTTATTTTTATATCAATATATTTTTTTTTTTTTTAAATTCTACTGCTTTTTCGTCCATTGCTCGGTCATTATTCTCGACTTCTCGAATAACATCGTTAATTTATCAATAATAAATGATTTTGATTCCATTTTTTTAATAAAAAAATAAAATAGCATATATTGGCAGTAGTAAATAATACTAATAATAATAATAGACTAGTTTATGTATTGGAATATAAGCATAAATACTATCATCAAATTAAAATAAATTATGGTTATACATCATCTATAAATATTAGCTTATGATTATTATGCTAAGTTTACAAAATTAATAAATAAAACATTTTTTAGAATGGTTGGTATATTAATTATAAATAGTACAATTAAAAAAAAAATTGAAAAATAATGTAAACAAAAAAACTTTTAGTTTAGAATGTTTATTTATTTACATGTGACTATCATCTAACTATTTTTTAAACATAAACATAATAATATATACAATACTACATATAATATAGGTAATCTAATTTTGATTTCAACAGATTGTACTCAACTGTTGTAGCTGATCATTAAGATTTTCTAACTGCATATTAAAATTATTTACACATAACCAATAGTCGGTACAGCTAGAGCGATAAAATGTAATGATCTTTTCTTTTTCTTCTTTTAAAAAAAGCAATTTTTCTTTTAATATAAATTTTCGATTGTTAACATTGAGAGAAGAAGAAGCACTTGTTCTAATTAAAAACAATTGGTATTTTATATTTTTACAATTTTTTTTATTTTGTTTAAGTCTGAATCTTCTAGTGATATGGTCTTTTTTATCTGATTCTGTATAACTTTCAATCAATTTTTTATAATAGTCTATTTCGTTTAAAATATTATTGTGAGAATTCATCATTTGAAAACTTTTTTTGTGTAAATATATTAGAACTAATATAAATTATAAAAATATAGAAAGATGTTTAAAAAAAAATCTGATAATTAAAATGATTTATATCAACCAGCATTGTGTATATTAAATGCTAGCTAAGATGGTTGTATTTTATATATTATAATAATCAAGTTTTTATATTATGCTATTCTATAATTATAATCATATACATACTGTATAAACTTGTTTTTTTTTAAACTTTAACTTAATAACTTTTTAACCATTTATAATATACATTATAATAAATATAGATATTTTAATCAGTCAACCTTCTAAATTTTTAAAAAAACATTTTAATAAAATAAATAAATTATAAATACTTTGTACATTTAATATTGATATTTCTGATAAAACTATTGAATATCGATCCGTTATAATCACTTACCTAAACGTTTATGCTATGTTATGTTTTTTACTATCATGTATTATTTTTTTCGTTTTTAAAAACTAGTAAAGATGTAAAGAGTTTTAGATGGTTTTTTAAAAAAAATATATATAAATAATGAAATAGGTAGATGCTTACGTAGATAGCTGTTCGGTTAAAGTATTTTCCAATGTTAATGATGCCGGTACTGGACTGGTAAACTATGCAGGATTGAAGTATTTTCAATGTTCGATGGTAAATTCCTGTTGATGATGTCGATGGTAGACTGTTATACTTTATGGGATTGAAGTATTTTCAATGTTCGATGTCGAATGTCTGTTCCTTGTTGTTGCTGGTGGAGAACACAAGCTGAACTGATATCGTTTGAGTGGCAAATTCTGGGTTATATAGTCGAGAATCATCTCCTACTTTTCTAGTTGTCGTTTAAAAATCACATTATATTCAAAGAAATCGAAAAACGTGTTAATGTAATATTAATTTTAAAAACAACTAAGTTATTTTGTAGTAATAGTAATTATAATATATAATGTATGTATTGGTGTTGACCGTCGTCGTCCGGGATATTCATTTAAAAATAGCAAGGTTAAATTTTGGGGTGTTGGCGGAATAAAAACTAGTATTAATAGGAGGTCATATTATGACCGTTGATGGAATAAAACTTATATTAATAAGAGGTCGAATTAAGGGCGTTGGCCGGTTTAATATATCCGATAGCATTGCTTTGAATATTTCACATTTCAAAGTTGCTATGGTAGTGGAAACATTACAGTATAAAAGGCTAGCGTATCGACAGCAATATTACAGTAAACATCCAACAACTGGAACTTCGCAGTCAACATCCAGCAACTAGAACTTCTTCGTCCTCTTCATCAATTCAACATTCAATAATATTCAACGATGTCTTACAGAACTTCGATTGTCGATTCTGGATCAGAGGTGAGTAAATGAATTACTTTAATAACTAAAGCAAATTGTAGGCCAGTCGTAAAACTACTCAACGCTATGGTTATAATTCCAATCTATCGGACGGTATTTATATGACAATAGTGTAATAGTCAGAGTATTCCGGCATTGCACTGATCATACATTCGTCTCAGTTAATGGGGCAATAGTTAGAGTATTCTAGCATTGTACCGACTGACATACCGTTCGATAGATTCAATTCTCAGTCATGCAATTCTGTGGTAAACCACTCATACATGTATAAAAAAAAACAATCTGTTAATATAGCAAATTTAATACTATAATTTTTTATAGTATGAATTTAACGGATCTGTAGACATGAAAATGAAACCTTCCACTTCAAAGCAAACTAAAACAGCTCTCAAAAGAGGGGCTGAAAAAGTGATTGACAAGAGAAATAACAAAAAGATTAAACAGGCAAAAACAGTAAGATAAATAATTATTTATAATCTTAATACTTTTATCTAATATTCTAAGGTGATGAATTATAGCATGAATTTATTTATTTATTTTTTTTAGAGTTCATCTTACAGGGAAATCTTTGAGGAGAAATTGCGGACTGAAGATTTCGATGAAGAAATCATCAATTCGGTAACCTTCCGGCAGGGAGATGGTTTGGCTACCATCAAAAGTCAGTTTAATCCAGAAGAGAAGGCGACCGACTATTGGACAATAACACACTATAAGTGTAAGAACATAAACAAAATTCCATCAAAGGAGAGGTAAATACTAGACTTTGGTTTACTTTTTAATAAAAAAACTATTGCTTATAATAAAAATAAATCAACTGTTTCTATTCACTGTTCACTGAATAATTAATTTATGTTACAGGTGGCGTCACTCTGAGGCATCTGTTAAGATAACAACTTCAGATAAATCAAAAGACCAGACTTTAAATACAAGTTTGAATGAGACCATGCAGGTCATCTTCGACGTGATTTTGAAGGATCCAGAACGTCGTACGATAAAAAGTAATTTAGCATTATGAGTGTAATATTCTAAAAAAATATTTTTTATTTAATAAATAAAACATTACATAAATATAAATGAATTTGTATTATATTACACTATTAAGTCCTGTAAAATCATGTCAGACATTGCGTTAAAATGAAATTGTAATATTTCGTACAAAAATGAAGTGTCGTCGTTTTGTAGATGAGAATAATAATTAAAATCATAGTTTTGTATATACTGGTTTGTGAATTCGTTCCTCTGACAACTGATGGGCAAACCTCGGACATCGTTTTTAATCAGCTCATAAGCTGCATCAAATGTTGCTTGAAAACTCTGTAGACGTTTCTGTTTTTCTGCGATATAAAGGTCCACACAATGCTGAAGTTGTTTAAGTCTACAGAAATCTATATGTGAGAGTGTAATATAATCATCATTTATATGTAAGGTTATTGAACTCTGCTTCACATTAATTGAATATGTGAAATTCTCGGTGATTCTTACACGTCTACACCTGGTATGTAAGTTGTTAGTAATTGAAGTGTAATTAGATTCAGACATAAGCGTACACCATTGCTCTAAATTTAATGTAATAATTTTTTTCGTTAACTTGCACTCTAATAACACAATAATCGAAATTTGTTTGCTGATTAATAGGCCGACTGTAACACTCTTCTTGCCAAATGGACGTATGTCAAATACCGATTTTGACACAATTACCGGTAGACCCATAACGAATTAATGTTCTTTTTTTAAATAATTAAATAACCTTTCAAACTATAAACGTAATTATTTTTTTAAAATTGATATAAAATTTTTTTTAAATATTTAAAAAAATCTTTCAAACTATAAACGTAATTATTTTTTAAATTTGATATAATATAACCGATGGGAGATATCCTTTGAACTGAAAGCATTTTTACTTTGTGAGCGTATTATATACTAAACATAATAGATAAAAAAAAAAAAAAAAAAAAAATGTGAGCGTACAGTATAGTCGACTACTGCGTCCAGTGGAGGGGAGAATTACATATTATACTTACCTGATACCTGAAAACATTTAAATTAACACTACACGCAGTAATCCACTAGACCACACGCTCACGAGATATTACATCAAATAATAACACATATAAGTTGTTTTAAAAAAAATCACCATTTATTTTTATTTACTATAACATGATTAGCATACATTTAAATTATTTCTACACACACTAACCTCATTAGTCTATACGATCGTGAGATATTAAATCAAATATTAACACATATAATTTGTTTTTTTAAAAAAATCAGCATTTAATTTTATTTAGTGTAACATATAATAAAAACATGATTAGTCAACAGTAAAAAAAAATCAACATTTAATTTTTATTTACTATAACATAATATAATAAAAACTTGATTAACAAACAGTATCGTATGATTCAGATTCACAACTGTGAATATGTTCGGTTTTACAGTATTTACTTAATACATTTTGAACATACTGATTACCCTTCATTAATAATACATATAAACATCTTGGACTGAATCTGCAATGTTCAATCCATGGGTCGTCCAGCCTTTCCCAGTTATGAAGAATAAGACCACAACAAAAGCATTCCACGACATCATCCACTCCTGAATATTTTAAGCCACATTCGGACAATGTATATTTATTTTGAGAAGTATTTAACGGGAATAATTTGAATGTTTTAAATCTTGATGCAAACGATGAAAATTTTGGATGAGCCATGGTCGGATTATTTCGTATACGATAAACTAATGATTCAAAATCATTCGGACATTTTTGAAAATTCATTTTTGGAGAAATTAAATAACTTATACAATGTAATAAAACTTCAAGAATATAAAGAAAAATGAGACACGACTTAAGTGAACGGCGGATCATTAGTAACTGAATATGAGAAAATGATCAGCTTATAACTAAAAATTGTATACATTTTTTTTAGAAAAATACCGACATTCATTAATTAGATCAATTGCAGTGCAACCAACATAAATGTAAATGCGAATATAGTAATTATTATTTCATTTTAGTCATAAGGTTTGTTGAGAAAAAAACATTTAGTGTGTACACTGTAAATATTTGGACAAAACTGACTTTGAGTGTGCAAACTCTTCATAAATTTTACACGGTAAAATTATTGTGTCCAAGGGGGACATCTTCCCTTGGACGGTGTGAAATTACCGTGTAAAAAGTGTGTAAATTCTTCATAATTTTTACACGGTAAAATTATTGTGTCCAAGGGGGACATCCTCCCTTGGACGTTGTGAAATTACCGTGGTGACACAAAAAAAGACTGTGAACATACAAATCTATACTACTCACATAAATGTAACCACACGGTCAAAAGTTGAATATATTCAACTATGCGGTATCGTTTGGTAACTGTGGTAACCGTGATTATTTTACACGACACGGTGTAGTGTGAACCCCCCCTTTAGTGTCGGTGGCACGTACAAAAGCTCCATCTCCATCACTGAAAACATGGGGGAAATTGCATTCGACTTTTCGCGATATTTTTAAAGTGAGAATCAGAGGCTAAAATATAATTTTTTTCGTACTACACATTTTATATTAAACTTTTAGTTACCGCGAGGGGCTTTGCCACCCCACAAAAAAAGTGTATTGAATCTATACACATAAACAATAAACATAGAGTAATCAATTTCTATTTTTCTTTATCTACAGAGTATATAGACTACATGGCAAGTTAACGATTTATGTCCGTATATTGGTACGATATTTAATTCGGTATTATACATACATAATATTGCAATAAATGCACAGAACTATAATAATACTATACAATACATATTATAGACAGTGAATTGCGAAATAAAAATCCTCGATTCTAGGAAAAAAACATCCCAGATTTCAATATTAGTTACTCACATAATCACATGAAATTGATTGATTAAATGTTTTTTTAAAAGCTAATTAATGTAATTACCACATTTTTAATATTTAATTATAAATAAACACAAGGTTTAGGAATAGCTATCATTAAAAAAATGAATGTATAATAAATAGGTAGTGTTCAAACATTAACAATAACATTATTTTGTTTTTGATTTGAAACAACCTAGGTAAATATGTTAATGGTTCTTTTAAAAAAATATAGGTAAATACATTCAGTAACTATTGTTTGATAATCATTTGTAATATTTGTATCGATTATTCGAAATATTTTTATTTTGTAATATTTTAAATATTGTATCTATAAGTGAAACTTGTAAAATCGACTCCTAATAATACGTAATAATTATTATTAATATTTAAAATTCTTATCTATCTATTTACCAACGAAACATCAAATAATTTTTCATTTAATGAAGAAAAATGTGTAAAAAAAAGCTAGTATAGTAGTTATTACAGGTCATTACACACTTTTTAATTTCGTATTCCACACTTAGTATTTCGTACTACACAATGTGTGTCGTACTACACACAGTCTCGTAGCCAGGATTATGAAATGGGGGGGTGTTTAAGTATAGATTAAAACCAAGTTCTTACAGTTTACGAATATAAATACATTTTGACTTGTGGCACTAAAAATTATCGAAATATGCAGTCAAAATATGCTTAAATATAATATGCAGCTACATTTTTATATTATTTTTGAAAAATTCATAAAACATACTACAATTTTGGTACTATAGGTTAATAAATAAGTAATAACAAATAACGCGATATGCGTACACCTTTATAAACGAACACGTATCTACTGATTTTCATTTCTTCAATCTAGAATCTAGCTGTCAATTATAGTATTAACACAGTCTTGTCATAAAGAGACTTATAGATTATATAGACTTATGTTACGTACCATATGCGAAAATAGGGATAACCGTAGCCTAGCTCCACCAACAACTTTAACCCTCAACAGCTAACAACAGCCCTCCAAAACATTACCTTAAATTTTTTGAGCTTATTCAATTTTATAATAGTATGGTCTTAGGCTACGGCCTCCCCAAATCTCAAAATTAGAGCCTATATTGTACCTAACCAAACATAATATTTTTCAATGTTATCCAAGTATGATTTTTCCCGACAATTGTATGTACATTTAAGTTTAAAAAAATGCAAAATATGCGAAAAATCGCTCAAATGTACACTTTTCCTAAAATATGCAAAAATATGCAAATTTTGTTTGATAAGACATAAAAAATTTCATAAGACAAATTTATAACTTATCTAAAATAATCCACGACCTCTACAATAAAACATGCAAGCAGTCCCGATCAATATAAACAACATAGGCGCAAATAGGGGGGGCTTAGGGGGTATTAGCACCCCCAATTTTAAGATTAGCACCATATAATAAATATGTGTTTATGTATCAAAACTTCTCCTTACAAAAAAAAAAAAACCAAAAACAGTTTATCATCAAACATGAGGGTATCAGAGTATAATGAATGAAACAATGAACTCGACAATAATTGTCATTTTATCGAATTCAAATCTACCTATTTAGAATATAAATCATTATTTTCCAATGTTTCTACTAAGCCCGGTCGTTGTGGTCGGTTATATTATTATCAGTGTTATCACGTTCAGCAGCGACTCAGCTCTACGACAATTTATAGTATCGCGAGTATTTACAAAATGATATAATATAGTACAGATATAACTGACTTTTGGAATAACTTTTGTTCTAATCAATATTTATAATGTTTTTTTATAATTTTAACAATTTTTGTCACACGTTTAAGTAGCTTCATTTTTTTTTTTTTTGTCAAGTCTGTCTGTTACACGCTTTGTACACTAATATTTATTTGTCATATTTTTTGAATAAAATATAAATAATTTGTTTTAAATTTTTAATAAATTAAAACTTACTATTGTATTAATTTTTATAAAATGTACCTAATGCACTATAACTATTCAATGTTAAATTGTCATAAAACCATTTTTTCTCAAAAAAGTCATAAGTGCCTCATAGGTATAATTTAATTTAAATACCCAGGAAATGCAGAGCTTAAGCACCCTCAGTTTTTATGTTGAAATTGCGCCTATGATAAACAATATATTTATTAGCGGGGAAAATTTCAATGGGGGTGTTTAAACACCCAAAACCCCCCCCCCCTTGGCTACGCCACTGACTACACACAATTTTAGTCCCTGGTGAGAACTTTATTGCGCGCGCTTGGTTGCGGACCTATTTCGTTGAACGTCCGCGTCCGACTGAGGACAGGGCATGGTGCGGGGCGCGCGCATAACGGCTGCGACTCTCCTCTCTCGAGCATCTGTGCGCGCGCAGGCAGCCAACCACAGATTCTTTTTCGTCTCATTTTTAATACAACTCTGTGTATACATAATATATGTATGCGTAATATCGAGTAATATCCGGGTGACTTGGAACGATTTTCACCTTTTAACCGCTGTAACGCGTTCATTATTGATAATTAAATTCTGTAAAAAATCGTGCAGTGTCGCACTCCTCCAATGAATAGATTGAGCAAAAAAAAAAAAATAAAGGTCTTAACACAGTGGCGGCGTGATTGGGTGTTTCATGAGGCAATTGCCTCACGACCAATTAGGTGGTGGTACCCCCCCCCCCCACGGGTACGGATATTAAAAACCACCTATGAAATATGGTCAAGGGGACGGAGTGGTCGAGTGGTCTAAGGCATAGGTCACGACGCAGCCGGTGTCAGCTCGATTCCTTGGTCGCGGGCGGCAATTTTCTTTGGGCAAGTCACGGTGAATAAGTGCCGCCATCTCC